CATTTACAATTCTACTGTGCTTGAACGAGAAATGTCCCCCCCCCCCCTTTCCCCTTTTGGCCCGACAGAGATAAGATACCCTGGCCTGGTGGACGTCCTAGCATGCCATTGGTAAAGTAGGTTTCAAATGTGGGTCTGAGGTAGAACTTTACTTTTTTTTAATGCCAAACAGTATCATCATCATCATCATCATCATCATCATCATCCAGTGCCAGATCTGCGACAGACATCGGCGATCATGGTTCTCCATTCATTTCTTTGCTCGGATGCTCTTAAAAAAGCGACGTTTCCTTGATCTTGCCCTGTTGTTACCTATTTGTTTAGGTTCCCAAGTAATCTCTGCAGCAACTGAAACGTAAAATAGCAGAACTAAAATTCGAGGTGTGTAATTCAATCACAGCAATAACATGGCCACGGACAGGCAAGCGTGGCGTCGACTGCTGCTCTCCGCCTAATGTACCTGACGGAATAGGGGGAGAGTAAGTAAGTCAGTGATTCAATGACCTTTGAAAAACTGGAAATGTTCGTGAACCAAATATCAGACGGTCACTGACCTAACAACAGGAACTCAATTTCCAAACGTCCATGTTTATGAATGGATTGTATTTCACAGGGACGATTCAGACGTAGCCTATTTTACGCAGCTGAGACGGCCGTCATTCACGAGTCGCTAGAGCCGTCGTTTGGCGTTATGTTCTACGCGGGGCGTGTTCCAAGCTCACATGGGGGACGGAAATGTTGGGGAGGGGAGGGGGTGTTCAGACTGAATGGACTATACAAAGAAACAGGTTCAACAAAAAGGGACTTGGGTCTGTCTACGCGTGCGCGTGTGGGTGTGGGAGTCAAATGACAAAAGATGCTTTCCTGGGGATGGTTATGTGTGTGGGGAGGGGGTAGTTTTGTTTTGTTTTGAGGGTTTTTTTCTTTTTCTTTTCTTTTCTTTCTTGTGAGAGTTGGAAAGGGGGGATTGGGGGAGAGGAGACGTTCGAACGTGAAGATGACGCGTGGCGCGGGACGGTGGTTGAGTACAAGTACAAGCGTCTGGGGATGTGACTCATCATCTCGAAAGTTAAAGACAATGAAGATTGAGAAGGAAAGAGGAACATGAGAGAGGAAGAATGGAGTATTGGTTTAGTTAAAGTTTTAAGGCACTTGCAACACAATAAGGTTATAAACGTGCAGAAGAATAGGGGTGTTACGAGAGATCAGTAACATACACAGAAAAAGGAGGAGAGATAAGAACGATAAATGTTTGATATGAAGGAAGGAGCAAACCATACCATAGCACTCGCCAACCACCCACAAAGAAGTAATAAATATTGTGAACTAAACCGCCCCCCCCCCCTTAAAAAACCCAACAAAAAACAAAGAAAAAAAACCAGGGAATGTAAAAGGAAAGTTGTGACACATGCAAAAATCAAAAATAGATTGGAACCCAGTCAAAATAAATAAAAGGTTCTAGGCAAAACTAACATTATTCTTTTCCCCCTCTCCGTGTTTTTGTGTTATTCGTTTCATTTCTAAAATTAGCAGTATCGCTGACTTGTTTTATTGTTTATTTGGAATGATGGTACTGTGGTACCGTATTGTTCAGATGGTGACTGCCTTTATTTATTATTGTGAGGGGGTGTCGGGTAGGGGATGCGTAAAGAGAAATGGTATAGAGTTAGTTTGTTGTTTCCTCGCTCCGTAGCTTCTCGCTTGATCTCTCTCTTTGTTTCACTCTCGGTCTCTCTGTCTCACTTTGTCCCAGTCTCTCTCTCTCTCTCTCTCTCTCTCTCTCTCTCTCTCTCTCTCTCTCTCTCTCTT